TCCCTGTGCTGAGTTCCCGGGTCTGTACACCTGCTGTGCCCATTATGAGGGGCCCCCACCATCCCTGTGCTGAGTTCCCGGGTCTGTACACCTGCTGTGCCCATTATGAGGGGCCCCCACCATCCCTGTGCTGGGTTCCTGGGTCTGCATACCTATTGTGCCCATTATGAGTTCCCACCATCCCATCACCATCATTTTTTGTTATGGAGAATGTAATAGGGGGAGCTGGAACACGTCGTTGGGGACACCCAAAACTTAATGTGAGCAGGGAGAGCTCACTCTTGAAGTCGGCCCACCAGGATCTACCCATAGCTGGAATATTCCTTTAAGGCTGTATTCATCCAATCATCTTTCTTCTTTGTATCTGTGCTCCATGACATTTATGTTTTCAGTGCAGAGAATGGTCAAGGGATTTCTGCTGCGTTGCTTTGTGAAAGGGATTAGTAATGACCTTAGGATTCCTGTGGGACTGCAGCTAGCGAAGGACGGCAGGTCCCAGCCTGAGCTATGCAAGACATGCTGGCACTTGTCTTTCCTTTAGAAGGCCTTCAGAAGGGACAAGTGGGATGGCTGGGAGCTTTGTCTGTGCTGCACTGACACTGATCATTTATCCACAAAAAAAATATATACATATACTGTATATAAGTATTAAAGTGGAACTATGGCCTCCCAAAAATAAAATTATAAATGCATCTGCACAAACAGTTTTGTCTTCGTCCCACAAGTTTCTTTTGATCCTGTTAATGAAGTTACCTAATGCAGCTTCCTGTGATAGGGTGGCGACAATGCTGCACTGCTCGTGAATACAGAGCAGAGTTGTCACGCTCATGTAGGCTGTGTCTGCTTGCACAACAGCGGGAGGAGAAAATGTTGTAGGGGGTGTGGCTATCAGCATTGTCACTGCTGATTCATCACACCTAGTTCTGCTCACTGCTTTCTGGATTGACAGCACTGCCTCCGTTGCTGAATCCATCCCACTGTGAGCTGCAGTGTCTGGGAGGGGGTAGCGGGGGAGACAAAAACGAAGGTGGATTAGTTGGAGAAGCTGAAGGGCATATTTTGTTTACTTTATAATACTTATGCTTCCCACAGTAACTGGATTTGGGTCGAGATTGTCATACTGGAGCCTTTAGTTGTACTTTAAGGGGTGCATACACCATTTTTTGGTTGCGCACTGCAACGCAGGTCAGTCTATCAGAAAGCCTGTTGGCGTGCCATTCAGAACGACTGTCGCACTAGTGCATTTTACTTGCATTGTTGTGTGTTGCAGTAAAGCATGCGGTGACGCGAATCATTACCAAAACGCCATAGTGTGAACATGGCCCTAAGGGATTGAGAACCGAACGGACGACTTTTGAGTCTGAGAATTTTTACCGGATTGAAAGCAGGCTGTGACATGTGAGGGGGACTTAAGCGTCACCGGCAAATAAGGTACCTCCAGAGCTTGTTCACACCTGTGCATCCAACCTTTCTTTTATACTGCACAGAAAAAACATGGAAGGGTGCCTAAAAATCTGTTCCAATTGCAACGCTGAAAAATATTCCTGTGCAGCTTCTGTAACATGCATTAGGAATGGTCTGCACCCCATCAAGACGCACGCACCAAATGCGTATGTGCATACATGGAAATGATGAACCCTACAGAGTCACTCTACGTGCACGGATGTCAACGGGGCCTTTATGGTCGCCCACATTTGAATATAGATGTTTTTTTTTCTTTTACTTTTGAGCGTTCGCACTGTTCTGAAAACGTTTTCTTTTTTCCTGTTAGCCCTCGAAGCGCCGCCCCCCTTCC